CCCTAACCCTAACCCTTTTCTGATGAAGGGTCTAGGCCCGAAACGTCAGCCTCTCTGCTCCTATGATGCTGCTTGGCCTGCTGTGTTCATCCAGCCCTGCACCTTGTTGTCTCGGATTCTCCAGCATCTGGAGTTCCTACTGTCTTTGCATTGTGTTAAATGTTTCTTTAAATATCCTTCACTGCTCTTCAGTTGTTTTACCCAGGAGCAGATTTTCCCAGTTCACTGTGAACTGTATCATTAAAGTCAGGATTTCCCTAAATCTAAAACTCTCAGAGCTGATTCATGCTTTTCACTTTCAAACACTACATTGGATTTGATCATGTTATGATCACTGTTTATAGAGCCATAGTCATGGAGCACAGAAACAGACCCTTCGGTCCAACTGGTTCACACCAACCATGTTCCCAAACTAAACTAGTCCCATCTGCCTGCGTTTTGCCTATATCCCTCCAAACCTTTCCTTTTCTTGAACTTATCCAAATGTCTTTGAAATGTAAATATATCTGCATCCATCACTTTCTTTAGTAGTTCATTCCACACACGAACTACCCTCTGTGTAAAAATGTTGCCCCCATGTCCCTTTCAAAACTGGCTCCTCTCACATTAAAAATATGTCCCCTAGTTTTGAACTCCCCCCATCTGAGGGAAAACACCCATGCTATTTACCATATCTAATTTTATAAATCAAAACCCTCCAGTCCCAGCAACATCCTGGTAAATCTTTTTTGAACCCTCTCCAATTAAATAAGACCATTGCTGTTGCAGGGCAACCAGAACTGTGCACTGTCTACCTATGATGCAAATTTGATTAATGTTCATTCACAACAAGGTGACTAATTTACAACAAGAACAAGTTGCTGGAAAAGCTCAGCAGGTCTGGCAGCATCTGTGAAGAAAAAAAAAATCAGAGTTAATATTCCGGTGACCCTTCCACAGTCAACTCTGATTTCTCCTTCACAGATGCTGCCAGACCTGCTGAGCTTTTCCAGCAACTTCTGTTTTTGTTCCTGATTTACAGCATCTGCAGTTCTTTTGGTTTTTATTAGGTGACTAATTAAATTTGGCTCATTACCAAATCCAATAATCCGTGTTTGCATTTAGGACATATTGCTGTTGGGAACTGTCCCAGGCACATTCCAGAAATTCACTACCTTGTTAACAGGGGCTTGTTTGCCTCTCCCAATCTATGTTTTAATTAAAATCCCCCATTTATACGACTCTAACTTTGCTTCAGACTTGCCTAATTTCTGTATTTATAGAAGCTGACACCTCAGACCTGCTGCCAGAGTATATATACACTACATCTATTAAGATGTAGTACAGAGACACACACAGTCCCAAATGTAGAAGGAGGAGGCTCCACAAATATCCCCATCCTCAATGATGGAAGAGCCCAGCACATCAGTGCAAAACATAAGGCTGAAGTATTCGCAGCAATCTTCAGCCAGAAGTACCAAGTGGATGATCCATCTCAGCCTCTTCCAGTGGTCCCCAGCATTACAGATACCAGTCTTCAGCCAATTCCATTCACTCCACGTGATATTAAGAAACAGTTGGAGACACTGGATACTGCAAAGGCTACCGGCCCTGACAACATTCTGGCAATAGTACTGAAGACTTGTGCTCCAGAACATGCCGCTCCCCTAGCCAAGCTGTTCCAGTACAGTTACAACACTGGTATCTATCTGACAATGTGGAAAATTGCCCACGTATCTCCTGTACACAAAAAGCAGGACAAATCCAACCCGGCCAATTACCGCCCCATCAGTCTCCTCTCGATCATCAGTAAAGTGGTGGAAGGTGTCACTAACAGCGCTATCAAGCAGCACCTGCTCAGCAATAACCTGCTCAGTGACGCCCAGTTTGGGTCCCGCCAGGGCCACTCAGCTCCTGACCTCATTACAGCCTTGGTTCAAACATGGACAAAAGAGCTAAATTCCAGAGGAGAGGTGAGAGTAACAGCCCTTGATATCAAGGCTGCATTTAACAAAGTGTGGTATCAAAGGAGCCCGAGCAAAACTGGAATCAATGGGTATCGGGGGCAAACGCTCCAGTGGTTGGAGTCTTACCTGACAGATAGGAAGGTGGTTGTGGTTGTGGTTGTGGTTGTGGGAGGTCAATCATCTCAGCTCCAGGGCATCTCTGCAGGAGTTCCTCAGGGTAGTGTCCTTAGGCCAACCATCTTTGGCTGCGTCATCAATGACCTTCCTTCCATACAAGGTCAGAAGTGGGGATGTTCGCTGATGATTGCACAATGTTCAGCACCATTCGTGACTCCTCAGATACTGAAGCAATCCAAGTTCAAATGCAACAAGATCTGGACAATATTCAGGTTTGGGCTGACAAGTGGTAAATAATATTTGTGCCACACAAATGCCAGGCTATGACCATCACCAATAAGAGACATTCTACTCACTGCTCTTGACATTCAATGGTGTTACCATCACTGAATCCCTCACTATCAACATCTTGGGGGTTACCATTGACCAGAAACTCAAATGAACTTGCCACATAAACACAGTGACTACAAGAGCAGGTCAGAGGCTAGGAATACTGTCGCAAGTAACTCACCTCCTGACTCCACAAAGCCTGTCCACCACCTACAAGGCACAAGTCAGGAGTGTGATGGAATACATACCTTAGGATGCAGCTTTATAAAGTTCAGTACAGTGAGACACGATTATGCACACTATCAACATCAGATTTTGTGTGTCTGTATCTGATTCCCTTCACTGACCTTTACTAGATGCAGGTTAAACTTGGAGCAAGCAGCTTGGAGCACTGTGGTCTTCCCACACCCACTCGGACCCCACAACAGGACACTGCACGGCCAATCTAGTACTGGAGGCCTGAGAGAACACGGGAAAAAAAGCTAAGAAGATATTGCACACACTGTCCCCCATCAAACACTCCCAGACAGGTACAGCATGGTGTTAAATACAGAGTACAGCCCTGTGTTTATTTCCCTTCAGATACTAACCCAGTGTGCAGGTAGGGCTGCATGATGCTACCGAGGATGTCCACAGTGTCGGTCAGTCCAGGGGGAGATGCGCTGCCCCAGAATTGAAGACCATTGGATGCAGCTGCGGCAGGGATAAAACTGTTAACACAACCATCCTGAAAGACAGACCAAGAAACGATCACATAACAAAGCAATGGTCTGGAGAATTTGCAAGAAATTGATGACCTGTTGAAAGTGAGTGTTTCGAGCATGAGGCCTTGTCTAACTGCAGCTGCAGTGCTACCTCCTTTCCCCAAATCCCAATTTCAAACTAACACTGAGAAAAGGAAGGTGATGATAAAAATCACCAAGGCCACCAGGCTCCAGAAGCTGATGACAAACAACTTTCTGACACCACGTTTATCCTGTACTCACTTGGAGTTTAGAAAAATGAGGCAACCTTATTATTTTTATTCACTTGTGAGACATGGGCATCACTGACTGACCAGCTTTTATTGTCCATCTCTAGTTGCCCTTGAGAAGGTGGGGGTGAGCTGCCTTCTTGAACCGCTGCAGTCCATGTGCTATGGGTAAACCCACAATGTCCTTAGGGTGGGAATTCCAGAATTCTGCCCAGCTACAGTGAAGGAATGGCGATATATTTCCAAGTCAGGATGGTGAGTGGCTTGGAGGGGAACTTGAAGATGGTGGTGTATCCATATACCTGCTGCCCCTGTCCTTCTAGATGGAAGTGGTCGTGGGTTTGGAAGGTGCTGTCTGAGGATCTTTGGTGAGTTTCTGCAGCACATCTTGTAGATAGTACACACTGCTGCTACTGAGCGTCAGTGATGGAGGGGTTGGATGTTTATGGATGTGGTGCCAATCAAGCGGGCCAGAGGGCATTATCTCAGAGTAAGGGAACACACATTAAGGTCAGAAGTCACACAACACCAGGTTAAGTATCACCTGACAAAAGGACAGGGCTCCAAAAGCTTGTGATTTCAAATAAATCTATAACCTATAACCTGGTGTTGTGTGACTTCTGACCTTGTCCACCTAGTCCAACACCGGCCCCTCCACATTATCACACATTGAAGAAACAGATGAGGAAGAATTTCTTTTCTTGTGCCAGTGAATCTGGGGAGTCCATTACTGCAGAGGTTTGCTGAGGCTGGGTCATTATGTATATTCAAGGCTGAGATGGACAGATTTGTAATCAGTAAAGAGTGAATCAAAGGTTGTGGGGGAAAAGGCAGGAAGGTCAAATTGAGGATTGTCAGACCAACCATGATCTTATTGAATGGCAGAGCAGACTCGATGGGCTGAATGGTCTACTTCTGCTTCTACATTGTAAGCAGTTGCCTCAAGTTGAACGGTAAGAAGGATTGAAATGGATGGTTGATGCATCGTAAGTTACCAGCTCCTCAAAACAGGGGCTATCAATAAATGCTGAAGGTCAAAGTCAGATCTTGCCAGGGATTAGTCTTCTTCAGATGGAAGCCAGATCTGAAGCAATGGAGGGAATATCCGGGGACAAGGTCTCAAACACTTCAGCTCGACAGCTGTCTCCACAAGTTTACTGAGACAGACACATTCCACACAAACTGTCTCATCATTCTCTGATAACACTGTGGCATCGTCAATCACAGGATGTATTATTTTTGGTCTAATTCACTAAAGTATCATATTCAACTTGCTGTTCCTTAATAATTTAATAAATTATCTGAAACTTCCTTATCAATGGTTTACTGCATGTATGAGATGAGTGTGGTCATCGATCCCAAAATCTAACTTGTCTGAACTTGCCGCACCCGTAGCCAAGCTGTTCCAGTACAGTTACAACACTGGTATCTACCCGATAATGTGGAAAATTGCCCAGGTAGGTCCTGTACACAAAAAGCAGGACAAATCCAACCCGGCCAATTACCGCCCCATCAGTCTCCTCTCGATCGTCAGGAAAGTGATGGAAGGTGTCAGTAACAGCGCTATCAAGCAGCACCTGCTCAGCAATACCCTGCTCAGTGACACCCAGTTTGGGTCCCGCCAGGGCCACTCAGCTCCTGATCTCATTACAGCCTTGGTTCAAACATGGACAAAAGAGCTAAATTCCAGAGGTGAGGAGAGAGTGACAGCCCTTTATATCAAAGCCGCATTCGACCGAGTGTGGCATCAAGGAGCCCGAGCAAAACTGGAATCAATGGGTATCAGGGGTCAAACTGTCCAGTGGCTTGAAACTCTGGGACATCTCTGCACATGGACCACAGCAGTTCAAGAAGGCAGCTCGCCACCACCTTCTCAACAGCAAATAGGGACAGGCAATGGGCCAGCATTCATCTTTTAAAATGAAGAAAAACATCTGCTGCTTGAGATTTGGCCTCTTTAATTGCTTGTTGACACAAGCCAGAAAACCATGACCCTGAGTAACTGTTATATTGAATCAATGACACGTATCATCCCAGGAAATCTTTGTTTGGGCTCAGTACTGTATATGGTGCTGCAAGTGTGGGTGAGCCACATACTCACCAGGTAGAGGGAGGTGTGCTCGCTATCAGCCAGGAAGCCAGGGCCAGGCTCAGTAGGTGTGTGCCCAGACACTGAGCTCACCTTCAGGTACAGCACAGGCCATCTGAAAGGAAGAATACCAGCTCTTCAGGAGGAAACAGGACAGGAAGGTACAAAGCTAGCAGAAAGGAGAATCCTCAGCAGACAGACAGAGCAGCGACAATCAGCAGTAATAATACCTGGCAAACTAGATTCAAACGACAGCTCCAGTGAGAGAAACAAGAGCTGCTATTTATATAACACCATTAACCTAGTATGGCCTTCACAGAAATATTATCGGTAGAATGAGGTGATCGTGGCTCAGATGACCGAAAGCTTTCTTAAAGAGCTAGCATTAAAACAATGCCTTAAAGGAGGAAAGTGAAGGAAGATGGAGACATTTAGAGAGAGAAAACACCACTGGCCAGGTGAGTGAAGTTTCCATGGGGGAACATTTCAGGAGTCGTGAGTTTTAAGATACCCCTGGACAGGGATAACAGCTGTCCTCAGGTGAAGGTGTGAAACTGGGGGAAAGCGAACTACAACAATATTAGGCAGGAAGCGGAGAGTGTTGATTGGAGGCAGCTGTTTGAGGGTAAACCCACATCGGGGCCTGTGGGTGTATTTCAAATGGCAGTTGAGAGTTCAGGAGCAGAACGTTCCTGTGAGAATGAAGGATAGGTATAGCAAGTTAAGCAAACCCTGGATGACCAGGGATGTTATGACCTTGGTCAGAAAGAGGAAGGAAGTTGACATAAGGTCTAGGAGGACGGAACCTAACAAAGCCCTTGAAGTATATAAGGAAAGTAGGAAAGAACTTAAACACGGAACTAGAAGGGCTAAAAAGGTCATGAAAAGTCATTAACAAACAGGATTAGGGAGAATCCCAAGGCTTTCCATACAAATATAAAAAGGACGGTAACCAGGGAAAGGGTTCGCCCACTCAAGGACAAGTGATGGAATCTGTGTGGAGCCAGAGGAGGTAGGTGAGCTCCTAAATGAATTCACCAAAAAGAAGGAATTATTGAAGGATAGTCTCAGGGAAGGGAGTGTCGAGTTTCTAAGCCAAGTTGCTATTCAAAAGGAAGAGGTGCTGTGTGTCTTAAAAAGTATTAAGATAGGTAAGTCCCCAGGTCCTGATGGGATCTGTCACAGGATATTGAGGAAGGTAAGAAAACAAATTGCTGGGGCATTAACAGATGTCTTTGTATCCTCTTTGGCCACAGATATGGTCCCAGAGGATGGAGAATAGCCAATGTTGTCCCACTGTTTAGGAAGGGTAACACTGATTATCCTGGAAATTGCAGGCCTGTCAGTGTCACATTGGTGGTAGAGAAATTATTGGAAAAGATTCTCAGGGACAAGATCTGTATGCATTTAGAAGCAACTAGACTCATTAGCGATAGACAACATGGTTTTCTGGGAAAGATTGTGCCTCACTAACTTGATCAAATTTTTTGAGGAGGTGACGAAGGTGATTGACTGCACACCTGAGGGTAGAATGGAACCCGGGTTCCTGGTGCTGTGAGGCAGCGGTGCTAACCACTGAGCCACCGTGCCGTCCGTGCCTTGAAGGTGGCAACACAGGTAGATAAGGCAGTAAAAAAAGGCCTATGGCATGCTCGCCTTCATTGGAAGGGGCACTGTGTATAAGGATAGGCAAGTTATGCTGCAGCTTTACAGAACTTTAGTTAGGCCACACTTGGAATACTGTGTACAGTTGTGATCACCACACTACCAGACGGATATAGATGCTTTGGAGAGGGTACAGAAAAGGTCTACCAGGATTTTGCATGGTATGGAGGATTTTAGCTGTGAAGAAAGGTTGGATAGACTGGGTTTGTTTTCACTGGAACGCAGGAGGTTGAGGGGTGGCCTGATAGAAGTTTATAAGATCGTGAATGGCATGGATAGAGTGGAAAGTATGAGGTTTTTCTCCCAGGGTGGAGGGGTTAATTATTTTGGGACACAGGTCCAAGACGCAAGGGAGGAAGTTTAAAAGAGATGTGCGAGACGACTTTTTCACACAAAGGGTGGTGAGTGCCTGGAACGTGCTGCCAGAGGTGGTGGTGGTGGAAGCAGACACAATAGCAATATTCGAGAAGAATATGAACAAATACATGAATAGGAAGGGAATAGAGGGATACGGATCCTGTAAGTGAAGACAGTCTTAGTATGGAAGGGCAAAATTTGTTGGCGCAGGCTTGGAGAGCCGAAGGGCCTGTTCCTGTGCTGTATTGTTCTTTGTTTGTTCTAAAGGCTGGGACCAAGGCAGCAAAACAGCAACCAATCATGGTGTGATGAAAGTGAAGAACATACAGGAGGCCGGTGTTAGATGACTACAGATATATCAGTGGGTTTTTGGGTCAGAGGAGAGAGGACAAGGAAGGATTCTAAAATAAAATGAAAATTCTAAAACTGGAAATTTAACTAGTGTTACAGAGGGGGAATAGCCAAACCCCTCTTTTAATTAAACTAAAACACAAGCCCCAATCTTATGACAGGAGTAGGGGTTCCCCTCTAATAATTACCCCCGAAACACACAGAGAAGCTCGTCTTTCTCCTTGTAATCTATTAAAACAGTGGTCAAAAGAAAGAAATTCCCTGATCTCCACTTTACAAGTAACAAGAAGCAAGTTATTTAACCCAACGATGAACAATTTAACAAAATTACTAACGAACCGACGATTCCCCCTTAGACTACTAATGACTCCCTAACTGGTCTAAATTCTACTGGAATACTGTTCAGATAAACACAAGTCCCACTAATATAAACCCAAGTAATAAGAGAACAATGAATTATAACTTAATCTCTCTAAATTCGCACAGACTGTCTTCTTTAATATCCTGTCTTCTCCTCACAAACATCTATCGCCCGCTAATTGTTCTGTCAGGGATGTTTTACTCTCTAATTTTTAAATGAGGCCTTTGAGCTGAAACACCGTGGTACCTTTGATTAATTAGACGGGCTTTCTCCGAGAGCTGAATGATGCTAACTCTGCCAGGTGGGGGATGGCTCTTCCCAACTTTCCAAATGCCCTCGACATAATCAAATTCTTCTCATATGATTGGTTTCAGATTGTCGACACCATCAGATTTAAATACAATTGGCTTTCTGTACCTATGTGCTTGGTTTAAATTAATTGGCCAAATTCAAGCTTGCTGTCTTGGAAGAAATGCTGCTTGGCTGTTCCTTACACATAGTTTCTATTCGGGCACTCTCTGTGCATCTGCATTTATAAACTTTCAAGCACAGACAAAGCACAAGCTCTTAAAGGGGACCACGGCACACTTTACCCCACAATCATTTCTACCAATAAATTCTAACTTCCTGCCTTCCAATTTATGAATACTCTACCCAACTTCATAACACAGGAGCCAACAGAACTTAGGTACAAATTATGCCTTTGGAAGTTCATAGGCTCCCATGAAGAATTATACACACATTAAAAAAAGAGAGAAACAGGGCACTTATAATAGGCAAACAGGGAGAGGGAAGGGGGTGGGGGAAGGGGCAGGGTGGTTGGGGGGGGAGGGAGGAGGGACGAGGGAGGGAGGAGGGAGGAGGGAGGAGGGAGGAGGGAAATCCGTTCGAGATTTTCCAGCTTCACTCCTTCTTCACCCCTCCTCCTGGGGGAGGGGGGAAATTCCTTCCAGATTTTCCAGCTTCACTCCTTACCTCACCAATCTCTCTGAACAGTTCTCGATGAATTCAGCCTTGCCCTGTGTTCGGACACACAGCACATCTCCTGAATGGATAAGCCTGTACCATTAGCACAAAGAACAACATTGAACCTCAACTGGTAGCTGGTCTAGAGCCCAGGATCTGTTGTACTCACGGGGCCACTGGACACCCATGTTAACCTAAAGCACCGTGAGTATATGTAACCACAGGAATGAGGAACTCACAAAAATCACAACAATGACGGTAGCACCGCGGCTGTGGACAGCGGAAAGACCTTATAACCATGGGAACATGATGGGCACTAAGGCCTTATCCCGTGAATGAATAAAGAAAAAAAAGGCTCCCAAACTTTGGTGTATCGGTTCCTACAGTGCGGAAACACAGGAATGTCAACACTGACAGTGTGGAACCACGGGAATATCAGTGGAGAACCTGGAGGATATCAGCTCCAACAGTGCGGATCCGCAGGAATATCAGTGGGGAACCTGGAGGATATCGGCTCCAACAGTGTGGATCCGCAGGAATATCAGTGCTGATAGCGTGGATCCACAGGAATATCAGTGGGGAATCTGGAGGATATCGGCTCCGACAGTGTGGATCCACAGGAATATCAGTGGAGAATCTCGAGGATATTGGCTCCGACACTGTGGATCCACAGGAATATCACTGGGGAATCTGAAGGATATTGGCTCCGACAGGGTGGATCCGCAGGAATATCAGTGGGGAATCTGAAGGATATTGGCTCCAACAGGGTGGATCTGCAGGAATATCAGTGCTGACAGCGTGGATCCACAGGAATATCACTGGGGAACCAGGAAGATATTGGCTCCGACAGCGTGGGTCCACGGGAACGTCTGCTCCAACAGCGTGGGTCCACGGGAACGTCACTGGGAACGTGGAAGATATCGGCTCTGGAGATAGTAGGAACTGCAGATGCTGGAGAATCTGAGATAACAAGGTGTAGAGCTCGATGAACAAGGCAGGCCAAGCAGCATCAGAGGAGCAGGAAAGCTGACGTTTCGGGCCTAGACCCTGCTTCAGAAAATGCTTGGCCTGCTGTGTTCATCCAGCTCTACACCTTG